ATCCCTCCGTCCAGCTCAGAGAGCCGGCGCCTGCGCGGGCACTGCCAGACTTACCAGCAGACGTCCTCCGCTCTGGGGTCACCTGCCAGTGCCCCCGTCCCCGCGCCCCCTCCGACCCCCCCACGGCTCCCCGGGCCCCGAGGGCTGGGGCGAGGGTGCGCAGGAGGGGGTGCCCCTCCGCCCGCGGGGCTGGGGAGGGCGGGGGAAGGCTGGGGAAGACTTCTGGCTGCAGACCTTGGTCTGGCGGGTGGGTAGTGGCTGTCTGGGTGCTCTCACCACTTTGATGGGTCTCAGGGAAGTGATGCTGTCGCTTCTCCGGCTGTTGGTCCAGGAGTCCCAGCGGGGGTACTCCCCCTTCTCAAACACAAACTGCTCCCCTTTGCAGCTTGCCTGCTCGTAGCCCACCCAGCTGGAAGAGAGCAGGGGACGCGCTTCAGACGGGGCAGCGGGGCGGGGACCGGCACCTGGCACGGACCCCGTCGAGCGCCCTGGGGCTGAGCCCCCCGCCACGTCCCCTGATCCCTGCTGGAAATGGAAAGGAGCACCGCGGTGCCCGGTGGGGGGAGCGGGCAGGGCTGCGATGTCTCCAGCCATCCTGCATGTCTCTACTGGCAGCGACACCACAGAACTTTACACAGTGGATGCTCCGATGTAGTGGCCAGCCATCCATGGTCCCTGGGGACCTGCAGAAGAACGGGCTCACCCACGTGTCCCAGATGGGGCTGTGCTCCCACCAGGGTGCTCTGCAGCTGCCCTGTTATACCTGGGAGCAGGGCACAGGCAGGGTGCTTTCCAGGGGCTCCCCCTTGCCTGGGCCTGTGGAGCACATGCAGGTTCAGCAGGTGGGGAGAGGGCACCAAAGGTGTGCCAGTCTCACCTGTCCCTGTACCCGAAGGGAAGGAAACCAAGTGGGGGTAACACCACGATCTCTGCCCATGCCCACACCTGTCTGGTCTCCCTGCCACTGAGCAGGGTTGTGGGATACCAGCCTGTCCAGGAGACTCTGTCACCCACCGTCACCCTCTGCTCACCTGCTGGCACCAGGCACCCACTGGGGTGAGGTGGGTGAGCAGCTCAGTGTTGTTTGCCACATGAAACACTGGGTGTGATGCAGGTGCCAGCAACAGGGAGACCCCTCCTCCCGCAGCCCCTGCCTCCCTCCCACATCCCCCCGTGCCCCCCACACGTACGGTCCGGAGTGCACCAGGATGGAGCCCACTTTGTCCACGCCGGCTTCCTTCAGGTTGGGGCAGGCCCCGCTGAGCTCATGGCAGCGGCCCTGGAAGTTCTCCTGCTCGAAGATGGCAATCTGGAAGAAAGCAGCACCTCAGAGCAGGGGACACCCCACCCCTTCCACCACTGCAGGGGGCACACACTTTCACTGGCCACCAGGTCAGCACGTCTGCTGCAGCCCAGACCTCACACTACCCCCCCATGCTGCATTCCAGAGGCTTTTAAGGAGCCTGCAAGCATAAGCCAATGCTCCCATCCTTCTGAGAATGCAGCTCTCACTCCTGGATGCCCATGAGTCCCTGCTGGCACCATCCCAGTGCCCCAGTGCCCAAGCAGAGGGATGCCTGTGGTCACACTGAGATATCCAGGCTGTGGCCGGAGCACCACTGGCAGGACACAGCGAGCCAGACACTCAGAACACGCTGGGATGGCTCCAGGGCAGCTCCAGTGCTGCCAGCTCAGCACAGATCTCAGGGGTCAGTGGGCAGGGGGGGCAGATCTGCTGCATCTTCAGGGGTGGGGGATCAACAGTTGATCTCTTCCCACCCACTCCACCTGCACTGGGGCTGTGAGATGCCAGAAAAATCCCATTCCCCATCTCCTAGTCCCACTGCAAACAGCTCAGCACCTCAGCCAGACACACTTGGCACCAGCTGGGTGCTGGCAAGGGGCACTTCGTGGCTGCTCAGCTGCTCCCAGGGGTGTTCCAGGGGATGGTTTGGGCCCCCAGCGAGGAGGCTGGGAAGTCTCTCACTGACCTTGGAGCTGGCTTGCTGCTGCTTGGAGGCTGGCATTTGGTGCTCGGAAGCCATCATCAGCTGGGTTGTCTGCTGCCTTGGGAGGGAAACTCTGCAGGTTAAAATCTGTCACCGGGGAGGCACCAGGGACTGTGCTCAGAGCCCCATGTCCATGCCCTGCAGTTCACCCAGGGAAGAGGGGTGTTGGGGCCAGGGCTCATGTCAGGATGGGCTCAGGCTGGAGTTGCCAGGGACAGTCCGTGCTCAGGGCTGCTCAGCACCCCAGACCTCCCCAGGCTCATGGCAGAGCCCAGGCAATAGTCCTTGGGAGTTGCCCCAGGTCTCCAGCCCAGAGGGGCACAGGGAACTGTGAGCCCAGGGCATTCTCAAGGCATTCCCAGAAGAGACTGTCAAGGCTTTTCCCACTGTCCCTGCCCAGTGACAAGCTGAGAGTCCCTGTCCCACGCGGGTGCCTGAAGGGGTGACGGGGACAAGCAATGGGACTCCCCACACCAAACCTGGTCCAGGCCCTGCAGGACCCTTTGCTGAGCCCTCCTGGCTCTGCCTGGCACTGCCATCCCTTAGAAGGACCCAGGTCCTCAAGCCCAACGGGACACTCAGGATCTGAGCAGCTCCAAAACAGGTGAAAACGGCTCACTCCCGACAAAAAGAAAGGGAGCCACGGCTGGGTGGTGACATCCTGATATCCTGCTTCGTGCTGCAGGGACGGGACTGTCCCCCCGCTCAGCCCCTGCGTGCCCGTACCCCACGGGCACCGGGAAGGGACCCCGGCCCCGGGGGTCGGGAGGAGGCCACGGCAAAAGAGAGGACAATAAATCGCAAAGTCTTACCAGTTATACCAGTACCCGCTTGAGCCAGTGACGGGCTGTGGCCGGGAGGTGGAATTTATACCGAGCTGCAGCAGAGTGGTGCCAAAACTATTTACAAAATAGTAAAAGCCTGATTCAAAGCGAGAATGCTGGATTAAACCCCAATGAAAACCAGGGTCAGCTGATCTGCCTCAGCCTTTGTCTGCCCGAGCACCAAGCCCGAGTTATTTCATTACCTGTCACATTCGAGTCACCCGCTTTGTCGGGTTGGTGGCGAGGAGATTTGGAGTTTGCATGCATCAGCCGAACGCGTGCCAAGAGCCGGGGCGGCCCTGGCCAACAAAGCGCCCGCCAGCCCCGCTCCAGGCGCTCCGGGGCCAGAGACTTGATCCCCCGACAGCCGCCCCGCCGCCGGGGCCGCTCAACCTGCTGAGCTCGGCTCTTTCCATGCGCGATAAAACGCGCCTCAAAGCCCTGGTGAACGTCTGGCTTTGCCCGTCTGCGGCCCCGGGAGGGGAGCGGCCGCGCCAGCGCCGGTGCCAGCGCAGGGGGACCCGGTGGGGCCGGGGGCACGGCGGGAGCCCCTTCCCGACACCGACCCTTCGGGGGTGGGCAGGCGAAGGAGCTGGCCCTGGTGGCACGGTGCCCAGACAACACCCTCGGCCCCAGTGTGGGGACTTCTTCTCTCTTACCTCCCACCCGCTTGGGGTCCCCGGGAAACACGGGGCAGTGGGAGCAGCAGCACGGGGGCCCATCTCTCACATCAGAAAAAAGCCAAGGCCGGCGAGGGGCTCAGCCTGGGACACATCCCCATGCCCAGGCTATGCCCAGGGTGGGTGGCAGAGCCAGGGCTGAGCTGAGGGTCGAGGGCAGCAGTGAAGCCCCTCCTCTGGCATCTCAACACTGGCCCACCTAGGAGGGTCCTCAGGGCTGGGGGCTGATGGGGACTGCAGCAAAGGGGTTTCACTGTACGGGGGATACCCCAGGTGTCAGACTCCCTGCGTGCTGTGCAGCACCCACAGCCCCCTCTCATCCCCCAGAGGAGTTAGATCCCCCCGTGTCACCCCAGCAAGTGTCACACAGCAATAACAGACTCTGGACCCACTCTTTCCTCCACACTTGGTCCCCGCAGGATCCCTCCAAGATCACCTCTTTCCCCTCCCCTGACCCCAGGATGGCTGCACACAAGGTCACCCCGCAGGGTGTTTTCACCAGAGCCTGCAGTGACATGTGGGGGGGGTCGGTCCCAGCTATGGGTGATGGGGTCTCAGGGGGATGTGGGGTCACGGGTGACCGTGTGGCTCTGCAATAAACCCACCACACCATGGAGAGGTCTGGGCAGGTCAGGGGGGTGAGCAAGAGCCTCCAGCACTCCCAGCCCTGCCAAGTCCTTCTCCCTTCTCTGTGCCTCCCTCTGTGGCACCACAGAGGGATCCAGCACTGCCCTCCTCCTCTTCTGGGCTAATCCATTGGGGTCCCCAGCCAGGACCCCCATGAGCCTGCCCCAGGTCCCAATGCAGGGCATGTTTGCCCCCCACCCCGCCACCACTGGCACATCCCAGCCCCTCATCACCCCATCAGGGGGCTGGCACGGTGCTCAGGATGGCTCCCGTGACTCCAGGCAGCGATTCCCTCCCTTGGCTCTGCCGGGACAGTTTAGCTCATCCCAGCCCCGGGCAGTGACGCTGCCGCAGGCGCCTGGGCCCGGCAGCATCATGGACTGTTCTGGAAGCAGCTTTTGCCTCTCAGGGTCACGTACTCGCCCTCCACAGCTGCCAACCCAAAACTAAAGAGAAAGGCTCTGGAGCATCTGCTCAGGGACCAGCATGAATGGCTCAGGTGGCCTCGAGCCCATCTCCCCTCTCTGCCCTCAGCCCTGGGGGTCCCAAGGGTGGCTGCATTGCTCCCACGGAAGGGCTCTGCCTGGGTGGCCAAGGCACCTCAGGGCTGGGCTGCCCAGCACCTCACCAGCACCTTGGGACACCCCCAGCCCCCCACCTTCACCACCAGAACAGCTGAGCCCCCATGTCAGAGTTCATCCCCCTGGAGAAACAACCCCTGGTGCTGTGAGAATCTTCCCTGGGGAAAGGCTGGGGACCCTGCAAGACTCTGGGGCTGGGCACACCCACCCCCATATAGGGTGAGTACTCTCTGGGGTGCACAGGGCCCGGCTCTGCCCGGGGATGGCTGTTCTGCACATCCCCCTGCTGCCCACATCCCCCCTGCCTGCCCCCAGCCCCCTCCCTGCCACGGGGACTGGCTGCCTGCCCTGGGAGCAGGCAGGAGATGCTGTGGAAAGGGACAGAGGCACTGGAAAAACCCTGACACGGCACCACCGGGGGTTATTTTTGGAAAGCTGCAGCCTTTATGTAACACTGCAAACACACTCCCCCCTCTCTGCTCTGCCCGGGGGTGTTGGGGCACAGCCATGGCCCCCTCCCCATCCCACCCCCCTGCCCCATCATCCTGCTCCATTCCCCCCCCCACCCCACCAGGCAGGCCCCGGTAGCCTCCAGCTCAGAGTTTTATTGAGGTTTTTGCACAAAAAACACCACGGTCACGGCATTGGCCGGGGCACCCCGTGAGCCGGCCCCGGCGGGGGCGTGGGGTCCCTCAGCTGTTCTCGAAGCAGCCCCGCTGGTGCCACTGCTGGTCCCGCACGCGCCGCACGGACTGGATGAGGGGCTGGTTGGCGTCCCACTCGTTCCAGTGCCGGTACTCGCCCTTCTCGAAGACGTGCTGGCGGCCCCTGTACCCGGGGTACTCGTAGCCCACCCACCTGCAGGGATGGAGGCAGAGCTCAGCTGGGCTCCCCCTTCCTGCTGCACCCCCTGCCCAGCAGGTACACCCCCTTGGAACAGGGAGCAGTGTCCCTGTCCTCATCCCACCCCAGAGGCCGAGGCAGTGCTGGTGCCTCTGCCTGCCACAGCCAGGTGATGCTGCCCAGGGCCACTGCCCTGTCACCAATGTCACCGCACAGGCTGCAGCCACAGAGCCCAGGTGGGAAATGGCGCGTGCTGGGAGAGGATGGAGAGTCCAGGGTGGAGAAAGAGCTCCATTGTTCTGGCAGTGGGTTAGGGCAAGGAGCCATCACACAGCCCCAGGGACACCGCCCCAGCCTCCACCACTTCCTGTGGGCCAGGGAAAAGGTGGCAGGGGGCAGGGAACAAGGGCCATGATGGACACAAGCAGCACCATGGGAAGTGCAGTGGCAGTGCCAGGCCTCCCTGCCACCACCCTGGGAGGACCAACCATGGTGCCACTGGACAGGACCCTGTGGGGGTGTCCCCATGTGCCCCTGTCCTTACGTTCCATTCAGGGCCTTGACACTGGCCACGCGGTCCTGGAAGCCGTGGGCCCAAAGGCTGGGGACGTCATCATCCACGATCTCCATCTTTCTCCCGGTGTAGCCTGCGTTCTCAAAGAGGTGGATCTTGTGGTCAGCGCTGTCCTGGGGGAAAACAGTGGTCAGGGGCTGCCCCCAGTCCCCTGGGACCCTCCCAGCCTGGTGGTCCCCAGCGCTGTGGCCGTCCTGGGGGGCACAGCCACTGCAAGACAGCCCCACTCACGATCTGGAGGGGGCGGATGGACATCAGGCTATCGCTGTTGTGGCTGTTGGACCAGGAGTCCCAGCGTGGGTAGTCGCCCTTCTCCAGCACGAACTGCTCCCCGGCGTAGGCTTGTCGCTCGAAGCCCAGCCACCTGCGGGACCCCAGCGTGAGGGGGGGTGCTCTCCCTGCCCCATCCCCCCTGGGGCTGGTCCATCCTCCCCATCCAGGACTTACGGGCCAGACTCCACCTGGATGGAGCCCACCTTCTCCATCTCTTTCTCGGTGATGTTGGGGAGCTCCTCTGTCAGCTCGCACTTCTTCCCCTGGAAATTCTCCAGCTCGTAGATCGTGATCTGAAGTGGGGAGAGACGTTGTCAGCCACTGCCACAGCCATGCTGTGGAGGGAACACCATGTCCCAGTGCAGGATCCCGTGGAAATGGGACAGCAGGGGAGCAAAGGGAGCAAAATGCCATATCCCTCTGTCCCAGCCGCCCTGTGCCGATGTCACTCCTCGCCCACGGCAGAGCCAGGTCCTGTCACGTGCCTCTGCCCTGACATGGCTCTGGGCCTCACTCTGAGGCCATGCTCCGGCCAAAAGTGTTTGTTTCTATTTCCTCCATGACAAGTTGAAAACAAGTGACCAGCTCAAACACAGCATTGGTAACACAGAGGTTTGGGGCTAAGAGACCCCCAGAGCTGTGGGATGGTATCTCCTGCCCCCAGCCTGCTCATGGCCCATCCTTTTCTTGTCACTGCTCCTCCAGATCCAACCATTCCTCTGTTCTGGCCTGGACCAAGCTCATTATTTAGTGTTTCCTTCTAAACCTGACAGGTACAGAGACCACAACACCTCCCCAGGCCCTCCTGCTCCTGGCAGAGCCTCAAGGATGGGTTGGAGGCAGTGCCAGTGGCAGGAGCACAGTGGGGAGCAGGGCCCAGGATGCCCAGCACAATCTGGGAACCAGGAGGGTCCAGGGGCACACTCCCTGGGCCCTGCCCCAGAGGGGTCCCCGCTGCAATCCCTGGGCACAAGATAAGGGCAGAATATCCTGAAGACACCACGTATGGGGGGTTCCAAGGGACAGAGGTGCCACCTGTGTTCCTCAGGAACTCCTGTGCACTCCAAAGCAATAAGCAGCCCAAGACCCCAGTGCTTCTTTACCCCCCTTGCAGGATTTGCTCCCATCTCCAGCCTTCCCAGCCAGGAACAGGTTTGCCTGGTGTCCTGAGCTGCAGCAAGAGCTGCAGCCACTGCATCCCCACAGCTGATTTACCTCCAACCAACCTACAAGGTCAATTCAAACCTAAACACACACCAAGGGAGCTTCACTGCCCAGACCCACAGCCAGTCCCGCTCTGATGGGATGCTTTGTCTCCCCGATTAAATCATTGGGCAGCTGCACACCAGACTGGCGGGAAAACGTCCTTGGCAGCCACACAGGCAGCAACAGCATCCCTCCTGCCAGGCAGCAGCAAATCCTCAGCCCCAGTCTCCCTCCCCAGCCCACTCAGCACCCGAGCAGTGACACCCACACACTGCTGCTGCAGGAGAGCTGGAGGCTGCTCACATCCCCAGTACAGCCTGCAGTGCTGGTACTGGTTCCAGCCTGGCACACACACTGCATCCCACAGGGACCCACAGCATCCCCCAGCGTCTGTTCCGGAACCAGTTGCCCCCAGTATACCTTGTAGTTGCCACCTCGCTCTCCAGCTCCCTCCCCAGTCGCCATCTGCTCGGGGGGACTTTGCTGCTCAGTCATTATGCCTGGAAAACCCAAATTGCAGGAGGTTAACGGGCTCTGAAGTCCTTAATAAAACACAAAGGATGAAGCTGGCCTGGAAACAGGCAGAACAGATAACACAGATCCCAAGTGCAGCAGCTGCAAATCCCCAGGGGTGTCTGGGCTAGGAGGAAGCTCCGTGATCCATCCTCCTCCCCCTCCAGCACATGGGCCCCACATCCTCACCCAGTTCGTCTGCAAGACCGACCTGAGCCATCTCCCAAGGGACACGGATCCCTCTGCCCTGGGCAGCTCATCCAGTTGTCACTAAACTGTCTCACAGCCTGGCCTTTGTTTCCAGCAGGCATTTGCCAGATTTCAGCTTCCAGCTGCTGACATCTTTTCCTACTAACATAAACCTGACACCTCTCCCTTGCTCCAGCATCCCAGGGGGCACTGGACACAGCAGCTGGAGCTGCTGCTGCTGCTGCCTTGGCTGGGGGGATGGTAGTAAGAGCCCCCTCCTCGCTGTCCAGGAACATCCACAAAGCTCCTGCTCAAATAGGAAACCTGCTGGAAAACGCCTCCCCGGCCTTGCTACGTGAGGGTTGGCAAGGGGGTTAAAAGATGAATAGAAGAGTTTTGATCCGTGTCCTTAATCAAACCCTGCAGCATCACTTCTCGCCACGCACGAGCCAACCCTTCACTCAGTGACCCCTCGGCTCAGACACTCTAGTTCTGTTTTAAAGCCCCTTCCAGTCCAAGCAGTGCTGCCGGTACCTCTCCGGTGTGGTTCCGCTCTGCCGGCGGCACGGGGCGGCCCCGCTATTTATGGGTTGCTTCTGAACAGAACAGCACATTATCCGAGCGCTGATACAGCAGCTGCGTCCACGGAATTCCATCCATGAGATTTCATCTCAATAGCGCGGGCTATGGAAACGTCATTCAGATTTCTCCCGGCTGTCCCTCGGAAACGGGCCACTCGATTTACAGAAGATTAACGTCGAAATTCACATCAGCACGTTCACGCTGCTTCTTGCCAGGTTCTCTGGAAAACTCTCCCATCAGCAGTTCACGGGAGGGTTTAGCCTGGAAACCGAGCGCAGCGCAAAGCAAAAACCGGGCAAAATATTGACCGTTTGTTTGGGGTCCAACACAAGATGGAGTGGGGTCGGCTCGGGGAGCTCGGCGGGAAGCTGGGGCAGCTGGTTCCAGGGCAGGAAAGGACCTCAGGATCTCCAGGTCGGGGTTCTTGCTTCAGCTTTGGCCCTTACAAGGATGGTTCTCTCCACTGGGCCCGTTCCTTCTTTGGCGCCCAGTCCTGCTCCCTCCTCAGCCCATTTTCCAAGCATGTTGGCATGCACCAGGGTTTGTGATGCACCCTGCGGTGTGTAACGGGTGTTTTTGGGAGCCAAGTGCCTTGTACAGGGGTTCATTCACCTCTACAGGCACAGGACAATGTAACTGGGGGGAGTGCAGCCCTCCCACACCAGGCACCAAGCTGGTAGTGTTTCACTCTGCTGATTTCCTCTACCTTTTTATACCTAGTCCTTTCCAACCCAAACCACCCTGTGATTCCCCAAGGAATGCTGCATTCAGCTGCACACAGCACCATTTACAGCTCTTGCAGGGTTTCCTACCTGCTCCGAGCATGGCTCATCTCGAAACTCAGAACTACACGAGAAACCTTTACTGAAATTGTCAGAAAAGCAAATCCCCTGGGCCAGGCCAGACAAACTGAATGGGAGAGGAATAGTGCTGAGCATTAGAGCCACTCATGGCGAGACCCTTCATCCCCACCTTGTCCTTCAGCAGCATCCTGGAACTTCCTATCTCCCCATGAAACACTCCATCCCTGCAGAAATCAGCCTTTTACTGTTCCAAGTCACGTACCTGCTGTGATAGTGAACCCCCTGCACCACAGCCTGTGTGGGACACACCAACACCTCCCACACCACCACATCCCACTGACTTCGTTTCCCCAGCCCAGCCCGTGCTTGCAATCCTGCTCCCTCCAGGATGCACTGACCACTCCTGGGGTGTATTGGGGCTGGACCATGGAGTTCTGGGCAGGCAGCTCCTCCAGCTCCAAAGGGTCAGTTAAAAGGCACCAACTCTACAGCACCAGTACAGATTTTTCTGCCATAAGGGGAAAAGGAGCCAAGACGGAAGGGCCCGTTACTGGGCCAAGAATGATTAAACCACAGGATATGAACCATTTACCTGGTATTTGCCTTGGAAGTGCCCTGATCCCCCCTAAGTCATTCTGGTGCTCCAGCTCTCCCTGGGCCACCTGGACATCCAACCATATCCTGGGTGCAACACTTGAGACAGGGGGCGTATTCCGGTGTTTGCACAAGGGCTGAAGTAACAAACCTTTTACAGGTACCACTTTGCATTCCCAAATCTGTGCCATGGTGCATTTCAGTTTGCCAACAGACAAATTCCAGGGTAAAACAAACTTTTTATGTGAGAGAAAAAGGGGTGGTGTGGGGGGTCATTCCTGTCAGGCCACTTCAGATAAAGTCTCGGATGTCTTCCATCTCCAACAAACAGCAGAAAAAAGCATGTGGCAACAGATGTTAAAGTGTAAAAAATTCCAACAAACATTATCTGGAATTAAAATAGAATTATATAAACTGTATTACAGTCTGTTCTATCATTTAAGAATAACATATTTATATATCTTTTATTACAGAGTGACAATCCCGGAGAAAAGGAAGTAGATATTTAATCCATGTACAATATAAAGAAATAATAGAGCAGAAAAAACACTGTCTCATTCAACAACATTCTAAAGATGCTTTTTAATTAGACATTTAAGCATTAAACATTTCTCAGTAGTAGGTTAAACTACTCAATACAGTAAGTTTCAGTGCATTGTCCAAGCAGACGTGGAAATGCAAACACATTCAAGGGCTTTGTGGAAACCTCGTGTTAATCCCCTCAGTTTCCTCAGCACGCAGCAAACAATTACAGAATTTCTGGCCTACAGTTATTAGACCAAGAACCAGTAAATCCTCCAACTGTTGGGAACACAACACTGTCACCCGCTGAAGTGGAAAAATCCAGCCTGTGTAAACGCTCCTGCAAGCAGGGAATTACCTGATTAGTGGGGTTAAAACAGGCCCCACTTCATCTGAGCAAGCAGAGCCATCGCTGCCCTCCTCACACCTGCACAGGCTGCTCGGGCTGGCCCAGGTGTCACACGTGGGGCACAGCGATGGAACCCTTGAGTGCTGCCACAAAAAACATATCCCAAAAGACAAAGAGTTGCCTTTTCCACCATCATCTAAAGGAGAGGGAAGAAAATCTGTGCAACGTTTTAAAGTGAGCCGAGAGGAGCTGGTGGTGGCTGTGCTCGATGGGAACCAACTCACAGAGCCACGGATCCTGGGGGATTCCTGCTCCATGGGGAGCAGAGGGGCTGCAAAACTAACACTGTCAACAGCTCCCATGAGAAATAGGGCAGAGTAGCAAGGAAAGATTTTACATAAGATAAATGTCTTCGTCTCATCTCCACACCGGGAGCTGCCATCAGAGCTAAATCTGGGAGCGAGAAATGGGCATATGGGACTTGTCTCCTGACATCCTGCTGCTATTTCCTAGAGCAGACTGGGACTGCAAATCACCTCCTCTGTGACTCCTTCATGAGAAGAATTGGCACATGGTTTTGGCAGCTACAAGCCTGACAGACAGCAGAGCAGGCAGGCCACCACTGTGGTAACCCCATGGGAATCGAGCTCACGTAAGACTGATCAGAAAAAAGAGAAAGGAAAATAAGTGGAAGTGCTGGTGCTTTATGGTTTGAATCTAGAGGAGCCCCTCGGCAGGACATGGGAAGTGCAGCCCAAGGAGCAGCCCCGGCTCTGGCAGGCGAGGAGAACACTCCACTCTCGTTCCCTCTTCATGCTTTCTTGGTCGAGCCTGAGGAATACGACAGGACAAATCACCTCCCTCCTTGGGCTTTATTTTTAAAGGTTTACTGAAAGAGCACTTATTTGGGACAAGAATCAGCTATGTCTTACATGGCCAAGGTGTTGATATTTCAGAATCAAAGATACAGACGTGTCTGGGGATTAGTGATTCCCAAACACCCGTGTGGTCCATGAGAGCCCTACTCCGCTATCAGCACGTGGGTCTTGCCAAAGAAAGGACAGGAAATCATCTTGAGAAACTGAAGATCACATTTAGGTTATCCCATAAAATCAGCATAAAAATAAAAACTTAAACCTGGTATTTACAGATTAACAAATAAAAATAAGAAGTGGGACTATCCAAACTGCTATTAAAGTGACATTCAACAATTAACTGGAACCCTGATATGAGTGTAACATCCTCCCTCTTCCCTTCCTTTTTTTGTTATAAAAACAGTATTTACATATTTTTACTTTTTTTTTAAAGAGAACTGGTTGACATTATTGCTTGATCCTTTTTAGGAAAGACATTCCAATGAAGCAATTATTCCACATGCTGACAAAACACAGAATATACCACTTCAAGAGTGACAAAAGTTAACATTTTGTTCATCTAAAAATTATCTCCATCTGCCAGGTCAGCAGATCACATGTAAATATAAGCCAATCAAAAATACATTTTACAAAAAATAATCAAGTTTCCTTTTTCAATATGGCAGTAAACATGATTTGTTCTTCCACTCTCACCTTCCACAAACTTCATTCTAAATAGGAGCTTACTATTTGTTCACAAAAAAAAAAAAAAAAAAAAAAAAAAAAAAAAAAAAAAAAAAAAAAAAAAAAAAAAAAAAAAAAAAAAAAAAAAAAAAAAAAAAAAGATAAATTTGATTAAAATTGTTATTTTCATAAACAAACACAAAGCCCAGCCCAGACACATCTACCAGAGGTCACAGCTCTGAGCGCTGAACACCTACACAGTTCGACAGCGAGGGGAGTTCCCTGCATCACAGCACTTCCAAATATCTCCATTTTCCAAGACTTTGTGAAGTGCTAACCATGAACCATGGGTTCTCCTGGCAGGCAGGCCTGAAGTGACACCATCCCCCCGACCTGACAGACACAGCTTTGTATTTGACTATGAATTGAAGCAGCTTTCTCCACAAAACAGGAAGGCACCATGCACAGAGCAGTTGAGGCAGGAAGCAAACAGCAGCAACATGACATGGGGGTTTAGGTTCAGATGAGTTAAGGCTTCTGTTAAACTTCTTTATCTTCTTCTAGTTAGAATCACTGTCTGGAAGGAAAAAACAGAAGGAATTGAAGTAATGGTGTGACAGCGTCAGACAGACAGCCCCTCCCAGGGACTGTGATAGGAAACCCCCCAAATGCCTATTTCTGTTGTAGTGTCACCTTGGTATTGTCCTATTTAATGTGTTAAATGTTCAAGGGCTGCCAGGAATTTTGCTGGAACAACAGAAGGTGTTCAAACTGTGTGCAAGCCTCAATTAACCAGCACCAGACTAATTCTTGCCTGCTGGAAGCACCGGGAAATCACAGCCCCAACAGAGCAAGGGTTGTGACAATTAAATTATCTGCAGAGAATCAGTGACACTTTCACCTGGGAGTGAAACAACACCTGTTCTGCCTTAACACACAACTACTGACAGCCCTGGTGCATGTGGCAGGGTAAAGGCCTCAGAGTTAGTGCTGACACAGTGCTTAAAGAAAGTGTGGTTTTGTCTCTGCACACCCACACTTAGCAAAGCCCCCCTTCCTGCCCCAGGTACCTTTTCAAACCTGATTCTCATAATGGCTCTGTCTCTTCTTTGATTTCAGCTCCTTCAGCCACTGAGGAGACTTTTCTTCTGACCTAAGATATAAAAGAATAATCTTTATTCTTTCATTATGAAAACTTATTATAGAAACAAAAAAAAAAAGATATATAGAATTTCTTGCATTATTTTTTTTTCTTCCACCAAAACCAGCTGGGGCTGGAATTCTCTCACCTGTCCTCCTTCTCCACACTGGAGGGCAGCACTCTGCTCCCGGGAGTCCCTAGCTGGGCTTTGGGGGATTTGAAGAGCTGAGCAGAACCAGTGTCCCCAGCGCTCTCAGACTCTTGTCTTTTCCGGAGCTGGGCCTAAATATAAAAATAAAGAAAGGGATCCCTTTAAGCAAGCATTCATGCTTTTTAAAATGCAAACTCATTTATAAACTCATTTATAAAAACAAACAAACAAACAAACAAATCATGCCTAAAATCAGGGCAGGGGTTCCTTATAAAGCATGAGCAACTCCTGAACTGGGTTATCTCTGCCTGTGCTCACCTTGAGAACAGAGTGATCCATTCCTGGGAACACGGGGAGTCTCTGGGCTTGTACCACAGATGACCTTGGAGTATGCTGGATCTTCTCTTCCTCCTCAGAATCTTCCTGTTGCATAGTTTTCTTCTCCTCTAATTAATTGTTTAAAAGAAAGCAGAGGGAGGGGAACCATTAGTCAGTTTTCATCTATGCCTTGTTCTAGATCTCTCCTTCCATTCAAATGCAAATGAAGAGCAGGATTTAGAAATGTCATTTAGAAACTCCTGCCAAGCTGATCACAGCTGATTATTTCAGGTAGCTGAGGGGTACCTGTGGAATCCTTGAACATCCAGGCATTATCTGGTTCTTCCACCAAGGAAAATCTGTTCTCAAACTCCAGTCCTCTGCTCCTCCTCAGCGAGTGGGACGTGGGGTTCCGGCGGCGCCGCTTCTTGCTGAGCTGCACCCGGGTTTTGAGGGCACTGGAGTCCAGGACAGCCGTGTGCTGGAAAAAAAACCACACCCTTCAACCAGCCTGGAAATACACCCCATCTCCTCTACAACGACTTCCCAACCCACTTCATTGCATTAACCCGTTCAGTTTATTAAACTCTTTGCCTGCTTATTATTCTTGTAGTTAAAACTTAAGGAGAATTTATGGTGAGGGTGTGGTGCATTGTGGCTCTGGGCTGTGGATGCCTGATCTGCATTAATGATTTGGACAAAATTAATACAAAAAATAACTGCAATAAATAGGAGTTTGGTTCTTAGAGTGTTTTATGAATATAGGCTTTCCTAGCTAATAGCAGCTGAAGGCCAATCTGAAGACTGGGATCTAAAAAGAGCAAGTACACAATATTCTCTCTTAGTGCAGTGGTGCAGCTTCCCTACCAGCTACAGACATTCCAAGCCACTCACCAGCATCAAGGACACTCCAAATTTAGTGTCACAGTATTCAGAAAAATTCTGTGATCAGTCAATTCCAACACATGCTATAGGCAATAACATTTACAGAGCAAAACTAGGAACTGTAATTTATTTACTTGCTTAAAGCAATTTGCTGTTAGAGACTTGCCTGCAACCAGGAAATATCCCTGAGCCTCCTCTTCTCCAGGAGATGTGGGTTTGTTTCTTTTCCGGAGATTTCAAGTCAGGAATAAACTACTCAATAAACAGCATTTTCCAGCTGTACTTGGAGCTGCTCATGTTTTACTGAGACAACTTTAGCAGCCCAGAGACAGCACAATACAGACCTTCTATAAGTGTTCGAACACCGTGTGGATGTGGCACTTGGGGACACGGGTTAGTGGTGGCCTTGGCAGTGCTGGGGGAATGGCTGGATTCAGTGGTCTTGGAGGACTTCTACAACCTAACCAAAGTTCTTGTAAAGAACTCTGATCTCATTAACTGTGTATGGACAGAAATTCCTGGTCTTATACCAGTGCAAGATCCTTCAGTATGAAAAAATCCTTTAAAATGCAGCTATGAGCTACTACAGAAAGAGCCCAATTGTAAATAAGAAAAACATTAGTGAACGCCTTTATAGCCTGAAATTTGCAGGGCTCACAGCACAATGTGTTATTTAATTATGTTTCCAGTGTTCGTAAAGACATTTAGTTCTTCTCTTACAGATCAAAGAGAAACAGCAACTTTAGTAAGACACTGGCAGTGCCCAGAGCAGCTGGAAGTGTTCAAGACCAAGTTGGATGGGGTTTGGAGCAACCTGGTCCAGTGGAAGGTGTCCCTGCCTATGGCAGGGGGTAGGACTGGATGAGCTTTAGGGTCCCTTCTAATCCAAATCAGCCTGGGATTCCAAGTTTAATTACCTGAGGCCAGTAGCTTTATGGAATCTCTCAGAACCTAAACATTGCAGAGACTAGAAGAACTTTGATCTTAAGCTTTTCAGGCAGGAAGGAAGCTGAGAAAATTCAGTGTGGGAAAGGAAAAGCAGAGGAAAATTGGGTGCACGTTTTCCAGAAGAAACTGCTCTGCAGTGATTAACACAGGGAACAATACAGGTGACACAGAAGGAGAATTTCTGTTTCCCGTGATGGCAACTTACATCAATGAAGGAGAAATCAGTGGTCTTGTCATCAGGGAACGTGTCTCCTGGAGGAGGTAAATCAGTCCCATCAGTGGAGTCCATGTCAGTGCTGGAACGGTCCAGGCTAGTGCTCCTTTGGTCTTTGTTGAAGTCATGGTGCTCAGCCAGGGAGGGCTGTTCTGTCTGCGAGGACAGCGAGGACGGGCGGCTGTTCGGGGGCTGCTTCCGCGTCGAGACGACATCATTTTCCAGGGAAGGGGATTCGGGCACAAAGCTGAAAATGGAGCAAATGGCATCTGTGAGACCTCAGGGTAAACAAATAGCTGCAAGGACAGTCTGGATCACATGAGGTCAGGGGAACTTAAATAAAGGTGGAACTGAAACTACAGCTATGAGGAGCCAAGGCACCTTTGGAGGCAGCAAGTACCAGCAGCACTTGGGTGTGGATCCCTTCCATCAGCACAGCTTTCATCCCTTGGATTTACAGTGTAGTGGGGATTGGAGTGTATTCCATCCAGCTAGAGGCTTTTCCCTTCAGGAATGCTTGAGCTGAAGGAGAGGTGGGCACCAGGTGGCACCCTAAGGCTGGGCTCTGCAGGCAGAGCTTTAGGGTTGTCTCGGGGAGAGTGCAGATGGTGGCAGGAACTGCACACCAATGCTGGGATGCTCCCAGTGTATTCCTAGGATTCCCTCCTTTGCCTAGACTGACAGGAAAGAACCGTGGTGTCAAGGACCTGCACCGCAGTGCTGAGATGCTCCCAGCATATTCCCAGAAATCCTCCCTTTGCCTAGACTAACAGGAATGAGCTACAGTGTCAGGGCTGAAAGCTGTTACAGTGATGTCTCCCTTTGTCACATAGGCTGGACTATTCCTTTAAACAACAGGATAAAGTAGGAATATTCTACTGTCAGTAAAAATCAGGCTGTTCTAATCCCCAGTTTAAAAAAAAAAAATAGAACCTGAAGTATTTATGGAATTCTGGTTTTTCTCCTCCTCTTGGTAGAAGTCTTTTGTTACTAAGCACCATTTCTTGAGCACATTATCTAGGAAAACTGTTCTGAACCCAAAAATACATGTACATATCAACATATGCCCATTTTTTAAACAATAAATCTTAGTATTTGGTACAGCCCACAGTGACAGCAATGCTGGGAAGAAAACACTCAGGAGTTACTGCTGGATAACAACGTCCATCAGCAACAGTACACAGTACAATGCCCAGGCTGGCAGAGCAGACACTGCACAGAGGGTTTCCAGCACACAAGCACAGGGAATGCTGCTTCCCTTCTTCACCAGTGGGCCCCAGGATAATTAAGAATGGCACTAATGAGCTCCAGGACAAGTTTTTGTCTAGGATTTTTGCTTCGAATGATATTTGGTATCCACAGCATCAGACTTTAGACCCACTGCAGGAATGGGGAAAAGAGGGACAATCTGCAGGCTTAGGACCTTTCATGGAAATTAAAGTGTGTGTTGAAAGGATCCTGTTTCATATGCACGTCTCCAAAAAGCCTCTTCCCTGCTACATCCCAGGGCTGCAGCTGATACAACTCAAACCAAAATATTTGAGAGTAAGATGTGACAGAAATCCAGCTGAATTTACACTGGTTGGTGGTTCCTCATTCACAAATCTTCCCAATGGATTCTCCTTCAGAGTTTCTGCACAATTACACCCCCACTACACACAGATTCCTGTGGCACAGCCCATCCCCAAAAGTGGGAAAGGATGCCTGGAGTCGAAACCCTGTCATGCACAGTGGATTCTTTCCAGCTGAACAGCAAATTAGGGGGGAAATTCCCTTCAGAAAAAATGAAATTGAAAATGTATTTTCAGTTCTCATTACTGAGATGTATTATGCACCTTTTTCTACTACTTCATTAAGATTTCAGGGTTTATAAGCACATCCATGAGCTGCCCCCAGTGTTCCACAGGTGCATTTCCTTCTCTGAAAAATCATCCTTCACATGGAGCACACAAAACCAGCAGGATTGTTATCACAATGGGCAATAAACTGAGATCAATCCTCACTTTCACTTGCAATTAAATTTAATTAGTTTTAGCAAGACAGTGTTAAGAGGCCATAAAGAATGTGTTGCTTCAGCATGGGAAATTAGAAGTCAGAAAGAAAAGGAATCTTGTTTTTACACTGTTGAAGGGTGAGAGTCTAAAGGCAGCTCTCACTGTTTGCCTGGGGTGTCACACAGGAAGTAATGTCCATTCAAAAATCCCAGAATAATTTAGGTTGGAAAAGACCTCCAAAACCATGGAGTCCAACCTGTGACTGATCCCCACCTTGTCACCCAGCCCAGAGCACTGAGAGCCACGCCCAGTCGTTTCTTGAACACCTCCAGGGAGGGGGAGTCCACCACCTCCCTGGGCAGCCCCTTCCAGTGCCTGACCACCCTTTCTGGGAAGAAATTCCTCCCTTTATACGCTCTTTTATATTCTGTAGCTGCAGGTTCCCATCTAATACAGGTGTGTCTGTACACTGTCCCTGGAAGTGTTCAAGAACCAAGCAGACGTGGCACTTGGCCATGTGGGCATGGTGACCCTGGAGGTCTTTTCCGACCTTAATGACTCTGTGGTTCCATGGAGATGAGTTCACTCACAGGTGCATTAATAAAACACTCCTAAAATGATCACTCTATGGCTCAAACACTGGGAAATGCCCGAACCTGGAGGTTTCCCCAGCACAGCACAGGCACAGCAGGGTGGTGACATCGTTGGGTCCCCGCTGTCGGGGCGGGTGCGTGCAGGACACGACACTAAGGGTGTGCAGCTGGGAAGGGATAAACTCTGAGGGAAGTGAGCCAGGCCAAACAGGAAAGCTGAATTATCAATGTCTCCTGCAAGTTCCTGCCCCAAGGCTGAGGCCAGGAGGAGGCACCAAAGGCAGAGCCCTGCTCAGAGCACCCATGGTGGGATGGGGAGAACATCTCACTGGTCCTGGCAGGGGCCTGCTTAATAAAAAATACACTGCAGACAAAATGCACTTGCAATGCATTCCAGGAAGACTTCCATTATTTAAAAGTACATTAATCTCATTCCTCTCCAAGTGCCTGACTAACACACCAGTAATTCCCCCGCAATGAGCCGTAAGTCAAGCCAAAGCAGAGCAATGGGGTGGCAAAATGCTGAGAAGTCTCTCCACTGTCATCATTACACTGTAAAAAAAGCAAAACCCAAACATTTCTTACATTGGAAACAAAATTCCCGCACATGGGGATTGAGTTCAATCCTTCAGTGAACTGGAATGTTTAGGTGGAGCTGTTCATACCAGGATGGACAGACTGAAATCACTCTCCAGCACTGTCTGCTTTGGAGCTGAGATGAGCACCTTTGTTAGGAAACTGATCTCAGAAAATGTCTGTACCATCTTGAAATCGAAGTTAATTTTACAGCAGCCTGGCTGTCACTGTTGGCATGTCACTCAGCTCGCTGAACCTGAAGCTGAAAACTACCCTGATTTCATAAGCAATAAAATATTTATAACACACAGTTCTCAACTGCAGAACACACCAAACAATTGACATTGATGTCAGCTGTAAGATCTCAACAAGTATAGCATTAAAAACCATGTAAATGCTATTTTCATACTACACTGAGCAGACAGGACACAGGCTCAGGGTAGATCAAGCCATAATTTACACAACAGGTGTAAACTATAAAAAACCTCACACTTTGCTGCTCTAGGTTTATTTCATTACATCATTTTAAGAACATAAAAGCATCAGCAATACAATCTTTCACTCGACTGATATTCCATTTCATCCTCCAGTTCACCACAATGAAACACTTCAGAGTCTGGAAGTGGCCACAGTCCCTCAAGGTGTATCAGGGCACACAGAGAGGTGCATCCCATGTCACCACACCCAGCACCCAGAGCCCTGTTCTAGAGGGATTTTGCTATTCAGCCCAACTAGTAGCGTGGCTGTTAAGGCAATGCCAGTGGGAGAGAAACAGATTTACAAACAACTAAAACACACAGAAGTGTCCAAGTGCCAGGATGGACAAGGCTTGGAGCAACCTGGTCTAGTGGAAGGTGTCTCATGGCAGAGGGTTGGAATGAGATGAGCTTTAAGGTCCTTTAATGGCCTTCCAATGCAGGCCATTCTGGAATTCTGGGATTCTATGACCTCCTCTCCCTCCTCAGCTAAGGAAAGCCTCAGGCCTGCAGAGGGCCACGTCCCCCTCACCTGTCCCCGCTGTGCCGCTGCTCGTTCCAGGTGCCGTACTGGCTGTCGGGCTCCTGCACCAGTGTGTCTGTGTCCTTCGCTCCCGGTGCCTGCCTGGAGAAGCACTGCCTCAGCTGGTCCTGCAACGAAACGTTTCGTCAGTTGGTTGAGAGATTAACACGTTTTATTGGCAACAGTGGGTTTGAATCTGCCAGTTAGACTTGGTTAACGCAAAACCGGGAATAAACTTAGATCTGGAAAACGGCTGTGAACTCGGAATGACAATTCTCTATACAATAAGCATTGTTTTGCTGGGCAAACAATGGATTCTAGAGGCTGGAAGTGACTCCCTGGTTTTAGTAACGCCAAGCTGCTTTAATATTGCTCTTATCTCATGGCACAGAATTTCTCAAAGCACCTATGCAAGCACAAGGAATTCTGCTGGGAACGGCGTTTCATCTCGCAAGCACACAAGGCAAACATCAACTCTACTGCTCTTTCCCTGGGTTTAATAAAAGGATACTTTTTTTTTTTCACCTTTCTTTGGAAGACATTCAAAATAAAATGAATAAATAAACAAATAAGCACAGGGCCAGACGTAAAAAGCCCTCCACAAACTGATGTGTGCTGAGGCAATGTCCAAACCCAATCCAGGCCAGACCATGGTGGGTTTGATCTGTTCTACTCTGACCTCTCACTTCCTGAATGATTTTATTTCATGGACCTTCCGCTTTCGTAGGGAGGAAAGAGTGGATCCTAGGCCATTCACTTTCTGAGGAAAGAAATGGGTCAGTGCTGACACCCCAGATCTGCAGCAGAGCCATGTCAATACAACCCTGTTGCAGCTTTGCTTTGCAGTTGTGCTGTTACACACTGAGGTTTGAGTCCTGAAATCCTACACTCTGAGCACGTAATTAACTGTTGGTCCCTTTCACCTTCATTACCCTGAACAAACACAAACATGGCTTTCAGCTCCAAATCAGCTTTGTTAATCAAGATTTTATCTGACAGCAGATTACAAGGTTTTCCACCTGCCCTTGGGAAAATCCAAGGATTTTTCTCTCCTTGTAACCCCCCCTACCTCAGACTTACCTAGCAGAATACATTTGTGGAAACTACCAACACATTTAGTTATGTTCAGGCAGCCCACACAAAGTAGCAATAATATTAAGAAATCCCATATTTAATATAGAGAATCCCTTCCCATTTTTGAGAAAAAAAGAGATGCATGTTTTCTTCACTTTATACACTTACAGAATTCTGTCTTAAGACTATAAAAACATTAAGGATAATTCACCAGTGCTGATACTTTGCTACTGAAGAAGTCCCCCAACACTTCCACCTCTCATAACCAGTTCTTATTTCCCAGGGGCCACAGCAACTCTCCAGCCCTGCTGCACTCTCTGCTGTTGCCAAAGAGTCTCTTTTAATGCAGAGAGAATTAAACCACAAAAGGCTCCACCATTTACTTCAACTACCACCACACACCACGACCAAAGTTAAAGTCCCATTTTGTGATACTCAACCAAAACTGGGGCTCAGTTTGTGAGTGACACAGAACAGACATTTCCTGCTTTTCATTCCAGATGTTCTTGTAGCCCCAGAATTCACTGGCAGTGATTCTAACAGTTTATAGAATCCTAGGACTGTTAAGGTTGGAAAAGACCTCTAAGATCATCGAGTCCAACCTGTCATTTATATAGAGAGATAGATACATAAATACAGATATATACATGTACACCCAGAGGCAAGTTGAGTTCTCACATTTCCCAGTCCATGCCAGGTATGAGATTCCAACCACAAGCCAGGCACACGCTGCTTCCAACTAGAGAAATAGTCTGGTACTCCCTAGAAGCCACATGGCATTTCTTCCTGCTTGGCTTGGGTTTTCCCTTCCACGAACTCCCTCTGTAGCTTCCCAGTCCTGTGATTTGCTCCAGAGACTCCACTAACACCCCTGGGCTCAGCCTTCTGCTCTCACCTGGTGGCCACAGCACCCTTGGCAAGTGGATGCACTTCTAGGAAAGGCACTAACAAATGCCAATCGTTCTCACTTCCCTCCCCCACTGTCCATGCTTGTTCAGGGTTTTTTTCCAACCTGAGACTCATTAGGAATTTTTTTTTTTTTCAATCCCAATCTCACATTACAAGTTACCCCATCCTTGTAATCAATTTGTACAGGATATTTTCCACCAGCTATGACTAAGGCCCGTTACTCTACACACGGCATAGACCGTTTTATTGCAATCACTCACATTGTTTCCAGCTAGGAAACAGTCTAAAAAGCTTCGAAACAGGAATAGGAGGAGCAGAAAAGCAACTTCTGTCCTGTTGCACTGGGGAGGCCTTGTTTACGCAGCGCTGTGTTATCTTGCCGTGGTGGCTGGAAGGAGACGCGTGGCCAGCCCAGATAACGCCGGCTCGGCAGCCACGGGGAAGAAGTTCAAATGCAAATACATCGCTCGTGTGAGGGCTCAGTAATTCTTAATAACATCTTACACTGCTGACAAACTGATCTGCACATATCCCTCAGTTTCAGGCAACGCTTGAGTTGATGTTAATAGATACTTGAACTCTGAGATGCCATTTTACAGCCAACATGACACAGTTAACAGTGTTATTCTCTATGCTAAACCCAAAGAAAGCCAGAAAAAGAACTAACATTACCACTTCTGAAGACATTGTGAGATGAAATTCAATGAAACAAAGAGAAAGTCCAAACATGAGGAATAAAACGCTCCCAATTCCAAGAGATCTGGAATTGTCTAGATTCCAGAGACTTTGTTATATTCAGTATTGTTACTGCATTTTGCTTCCGGAGGAAGCTACTTATTTCAAGATGACAGTGTCTCTCCCTGACAGTTCCTTTCAGCACATACTTTAAATGATTAATTGGAAAACATAACCACTCTTTAGGTACCAAGCACAGAAATAGGGAGTGGGAAGAGGAGCTGATCCTCTCTCCAGCTTGTGGAGGAGGTGTTGGCTGGGGGCACCGAGGGTGGCGCAGGAAAGCAATTTATAGCCTGTGAGGCTCGGAGGAGAGGGGTGTGCTGAGCAACAACAAAACCCTAAAAATTATCCTCTCCAGAAGGTGATTATTAGCAAGCAGAGAATGATGAGGTTTAGCTTTTCTTTCAAAGATCTCTTTTACATCATTTTCACCAGAACAACTCAAGGCGATCAACACATGAAGCCAGGCCAGGTACAGCCATTTCTTCCATAAACAAAATATTCAGGATACAGTAAAGCCAGGTATTTCAAAGGAAAAGGCAGTCAAAAGAGGAGTCTGGTGTCTTTTTAGAGCCAGAAGATAAGCCCAAATGAGGAATTTTCTTATTTATAATGACAGAAAAATCTCCCCAGATAAACACCACACTCGGTCCAGGTTTCAAATGCTATAATTCCTTGAGCTTTGATCTTTTAACTTCCCAATTCGTACACTAGGAGCAGGAAAAAATTGACTTAATTTTCATATAAAATAAAGCAGCTGAGCTGTGTCCTGCTTTGCCTCCGGTTCTTCTTCTAAAATGAGACATTACGATTATGCCTTTTTCAGTCCTCCCTTGGAATTAAGCTGGGCTTGGCTATAGTCCAGGGCTGATTACTCCTGCAATTTCCAGTTCCTGAAAATGATGCACACACAATATTGGTTCTATCGGTCCAAAAATTACCCGTAACTCCGAGTGAATGGAGACGTTTTTGTGAAAACCCCTCCCGCACTAATGTGAAGTAAAGACCTGGCACAGGAGGAACACCAGCTCGGAGAGATCTCATGAGTCAGAAGCTGCACAGACAGTTTCAAAAATATCTTTGTTTGCAAAGGAGCCCGAGACATCAGCCAGGGGAAGTGACAGCCCACAGCTTGAGTGCGAACGTTCAAAGCTAAAATCCACTGGCATAGACTGGATATGAGGAGGAACTGCACAATGGAAGGAAGTTTTGACCATCTGCCTTGTTAATACAGAACTCAGAGAAAAAACTGTGCATATTTCTTGAAAAGTGCCTTCTTTTTTTTTCTTCTTCTCTCTCCTTTTTTTAATCAAAGAAGTCAGAGATTTGGTCAAATTGCCCCATACATGTGACACTGCATTTAAGCAGAGCTTACAAGTCCTTACAAATCCAGAAAACCATCACAACTGTTCCCCTGCAGACTTCCAGGAGGATAGCAAAATACTATCTTATTCTATTAATTTTGTATTCTATTAATATTGTATTTTATTATTTCACAGTTGTCTCTGCTTTGAACAGGACGTTGGGCTCCGTGACCTTTATAATCCAAGTTATTCTAAGTACTATCAATAGAAGGTAAACCATACATTTTGGACCACTAACAGAATTATTAGGACATATCATATTGACACCAACTGACACCAAAAACCCACCACAGTAAGAGGGTCTATGGGTCACAGCCCATAGATTTTATTTTGGAAGCACCCAAATGCCAGTACAGTAAGGGGAAAGTCTGACTCCATGGAATCAGCATCCCAGGATTTCCATCCATACTCACTATCCGGCGAATGAGCGCTGCCCACAAGGAGTAAGTCATGGCTCCCTCCCAATGTTCCCGTTAGTTCCCAGCAACCAGGTGAGGAGATGGACCAACTCCAAGTTTAAATTAATTGCTGAAAGAAGTAAGTGCCTCAGGCAATGTCCCAGGCTGGGGCAGCACCTTCTGCCCCCACCCTCCAACTCTGTAGCCACAGATAAACAGTTCAAGGAATTGAACAGCTTCTCTCTGACCTCACGGTCAAGGAAAGTTAGAGACCTCCACTGTGGGCAGAGTCACGTGGGACAACTCCTCAGCCCTCCCCAACACCCCATCCGGCACAGTGTCCTCACTGTCACTGGTGACCAGGTTCAAGAGCAGGGACAAAATTAATTGAATTAATCAATCTCAGAACCTCCAGGTCTGTCCATTACAATACAGGCCAGGTAAGGGGACAGCACTAAGCAGCCTTGGTGTCTGCTCAGGAGGAACATCCCTCTGTACTGTGTCCAGCTCTGGGGTCACCAGCACAGGGAGGACATCAACCTGTGGGAGCGAGTCCAGCAGAGGCCACAAAGATGATTAGAGGGAGGGAGCACCTCTGCTGTGAGGAAAGGTGGGGTTGTTCAGCTTGGGGAAGAGAAGGCTCTG